AAGTATGGTATTGTTTAGAAGGACCATAGTAACATGATTCTGAATTGAGATAGTTCTTGATCAGAATTGATGGTTATATGGAAATATGGAAATGTTTTAATAATGGGAGAGACTTGAAAATTTTACATGTAAGTTGGAAACATTAATGCAAGAGAAGTGTTCAAGGAGTGTACCTTGAATTTGAAACTTTATTATCATGGAATTTTTTCTAGTAACTAAGTTCCAATGGAACATTATGTAATATTGTTGGGTCAGTCTCTGTGACTTGAAGCATCGAAATCGTAGAAAATCAATGCATGTAAGGTTGAAATTCCAATACATTTTAGACAGTGACAATAATTTGGAATTGTGAAATCAGCATCATTGGAATAATGTCCAGTTCACCTGTTCACAAAGGAAGGACCATAGAGAGGCATGATATTCATGTTCATAACATGGCATATCTGATGTTTAATTCAAGTGGTTAGTTGATTACTTGAAATATTATACAATGAATAAAGTCATAATTATTATGGTGATTAAATAATAGAGATTTATTTATTTTCAATAGGTTTGAGACCATATTTAATTAGTTTATTATTGTGTTTCACTTTGCATGTTTTACTTCCTGAATAATTTGATTATTCGAATTCCACATTCGATCATACTTTTGGAAGTAAGTACTAAATTAAGGATGTTATGAATTGAATTGTAGATTGTCAATGGGGATTAGACATTGCAATAAGATTGCTACAATGTTCATGAGTACTTAGAAAATGAGGATTTTGAGTATTGGATAAACCCACGCTTAAGAAATTATTTGATGGATTTTATCATGAGTAATTCTGAGACGATAATGTCTTATATTCTTGAAATGGAGATATATTAGTTGTAATTTGAAATTCGGTTGTGCATTGGTGTTACATAAACACATCAGTAACATGATGTTATAAAACATAGTGTCATACATGATTTGGTGAGTAAAAGATACAAGCATATGACTCGAAATTTATTCGTTCCTTTTTCCTAACGGGAAAAGAGATATATTTGGGCTCCTCGATGATTTGTTGTCAACATCTGAAGAGCTTGGCCGAGCCTGGACTGAATTGATGTCTTCAGTTAGTAATCTGAATTCTGTCGTCATAAATTGGGAAATCGGGAAACAAAATTTTGGATAATGAGATTGATTTCAATCCATGTCTCGTGTCTATATGATATCTTCAATAACGAAGGAATATTTTATCACTTATCTAAGGACAAAATATCTGATCGGATCAGAGTTCGACAATTGTTTTTGGAAGCACCCTTTGTTTATAATTTAAAAGTTATACTGGCAATTATAGTTATAGACTTATCCAAGGGGAAGACTATTGGATTAGGTGTCTAAGCCAATAACTAAATTGGTATATACTTAAATTATTAACAAAATCCTTTTGGGTTGCCCTCAAACCTAGTAATTGAATAGGATAACTTTTAGAGAGAGAGACTGATTTATTGATTTATTATATGATTAATAAATAGAAATAAATGATTTGTTAATATATTATGAAAATAATATATTAATTAGAAATGGTATTATTTAATTAAGAATTAATCAGAAATTAATTAGAATTAATTGGATTAATTAAAAGTGCAAGGACCTAAGCTGTAATTGTTTAATAGTTGAACAAAATGCATTCCAAAACCTTCTATAAGGTGGTGGACGATTTTTGGGATGATTCTAGGGTTTGTAGAATATCCCTTGAAGATAATTAGGAAACCAGATAATTATCTGATTTGAAATATTATTATTTTAATCATGTAAGGGTTATCTAGGGTTTTCCTATCAGCTATAAACAGGGTTTTCTAGCTTCATAGTTTCGACCACTATTCATTCCTTTAGAAGGATGGCCGAAAAATTACCTCCTCTCTCTTCTCTCTTCAAGTATTCCTTGGTTGCTAAGGTTTGGGTGCGAACCATTAGAGGCACGACACTTGTGGTGCTAGCTTCCAAATCAAAGAAGAAAGGATTCTTGATTGTTTACTACAACAATCAACAAGGTATGTAAACCCTAAAATTTTTCTTTAATTTTGAGAATACCTTGGGTTATAGGGTTCTTGTTGTTCAATAGAATGTTACATCAATAGTGTTATGACTTAGATCTTTAGGTTGCATGTACCCTTAAGTGTTAAAGATTCATCCGCGTTAATACATGTAAAACCCATCAAATGTCTACATCATGATCTATCAAGTAAGGAACAACCAGGTAGGATCATATCGGAGGTAGGGTCCGTTGGGTATATGAAGTATACTGTTTGGAAATCTCACTCTAAACACCACATTAAATCCAGCCTAGACATCACTCTCATAAGTAGATCAATCAATATAATGAATTTGGTATCACTGTTAAATCTTAATTATAGGTTCATAATAATGAATATGACTATAATTAAAACTTACACTTGAATAAAATAAGTGTAGCTTAACTTACAAAGTTTCTAGAGAAAACTGGGAAATTACACGGGCAAAATCTCGATCTAAAATCTTTATATCTCAGACGCTTCAGGGCTATGCTAAAGTATCCGTAAACTAGAAAGTATTGGGACTAAAGGGTCAGGGGAGTTCCATAGGATTCGAGTGGAACGGTGTGAGGAGAATGCTGGAAATCGAGGGTATTTATAGGCTGAAAATTAGTGCACACCTTGCAAATTGTCGGAAGAGGTGACGTGGCAGCTTCTGGGTGGTGACATGTGTCGAATTCTTGAGGCTTGTCAGATGCACGCCGTGCATGCGTTCGCGCGTGCGCAAGTGCGCTTGGAGAATTCTTATTTCCTTAAAAAATCATATCTTCTCCGTATGAGCTCCATTTTCGATGCGTTATATATCCACACATACTTATCGATGAGGTCTACAACTTTCATTCAGACTTCGACGGATAATTTTGACTTTATTTTTAAAGTTATATTTTTAATAGGCTGAGACTGTTAAAGTCCGTTAAAAATTCATAACTCTCTCATGTGACATCCGTTCTCGATTGTCTTTATATTGACAAGATCTTCAACTTTCGTTTAGATTGTTTTTCTTAACAATTGACTGATTTCAATTTCAGTTCCTGAGCCGTATACTGCTACGCCGAAACTTTAAAAAATCATAATTTTCTCTCACTAAGTCAGATTCAGACGTTCTCTATATTATTCTTCTCGATTTAACGACTGTTATAACTTTTTTTAGATTATTTTCCCATAAAAATCTTCTATTGATAATACATTTTTATTGTCGTGACGAATAATTATCCTATTACTCTTTAATCGTCTAGCTCTATCTTGCGGGTGTTACTTACTATCAACCCACGAATGGAGAAGTGGAAGGAAGTAGGTAGACTACTAGGGTTGTACCTAAAAGGGACAAGTACTCTTGAAGTTAATGCTCCTAATTATCAAGTTCAAAGGGTAATAACAAAGTCACTTATGATAGAAGGTGGAATCAATAATGAAAGATCCATGTAAGGTAAGATAATACATCATTGTTGAGAACGACGTTGAGCTAAAACTCTTAAAAATGGAGATATGTAAGCTGTGTAGATATTAAAAAAATCTACCTATATGATTTACAGGTTGGTGCCAACTCAAATAAATAAGTGGTTTATTTTCTAAAGGGTCATGAAAAGGGTTCATAGCTCATAACTATATTCGCACTGAGTGAGAACACAAAGATGGCATATGATATGTGGAGTTAAACCAAAGATGTCATACGGTTCTTGGTTTAAATCCATATAAAACCATTGAATCGATCTCTTTTTGTTTGTCCAAATTAAATTATGGTTTGATCGTTGTATACCCAAGTGACGTTATTTGTTGAGTGAAAAGAAACTTTCCAACTCAGTAGGGCATTATTGGAAATTATGATGGAGGCGAGACAAAATGTTCATGAAATAAAATGATTTTGGTACACTTCGCACTTTGCACACCACATTGTTGCTAGGACCAGATAAACTTTTACTTTTAGCAAGGTTAGGTTTAGATTTTGTTGGACTGACCTAGTTAGCGTTGGCTATAAATTCACTTTTGAAAGACTCAAGAAAATAAGTTACTTGAGGGTAAGGTGTCGCGACTAGGATTTGACCTAGCAAAACGATGTGACACATGGTGAGCCCATAGGGCTATTGTCGTCAAAGTTCCGCCATTTTTTGGTATAAACACAACTATCCTGGATCCATATTTAACACCAGAATTGCAAATTTCTCCCCGCTTTCCTCACTCCCGCTCCCTATGTGATTCTGCATTTTTCTAGTTTTCAAGCATTCGTTTTGTGTTTATCGGCTCTTCTGGAAAGAGCAAAAAATTATATTAAATCTAGAGTATTTACTTTGAAGCTTACAACTCTAGAGCGACATAAAACCTATATTGCCATAAGTTCTCCCATTCAGTTACCAGTCATGATATTCGTCATATTCAGGTTAGTTTTATTTTTTGTCTCCTCGTTTGATTCGTCCGCAAGTTGTCAATCGAGTCCGAGACAAAATTTGGAAATTTAATAATAATAATCTAATGTATTATTTGCAACGATTTGATATTTAATTCTTAAATTTATTTGTCAGTTTGTTTGCTTTTAATGATTCGATATTAGTTCACAATAATAATCATGCCAGTTCTTAAATTTATTCGATGTTAGGTCACAATACTAATCATCAAATTGTTTATCATGTCTACTAATCATGTTTGTTTTTAACAATTTTATGTGTACGAGATTTGTAACACAAGAAAAACAACACACCACACCTAAAAACAATAAATACAACAATGAGAAAGAAGCTCATTTTTACTAGTACATGAAGAGTCTTCTAGAGCAAAGAAATGTACTTATTCAGAAATTCACACAAGGGGCTTTGAATTGAAAATTTTGATTTTTTGATTATTTTTCTTTGAATAGTAAAAAGAAAAAGTTTTTTTTATTATTTAATTAGAAAGAAAATAATGGAGGTAACAAGAATGTTTCCTTCACGGGTCTCGAATTTGCCATTGGGGCATTGAAAGTAAAATCGTTACATCAGATCCGAAGCATGATCAAAGTTAGCAACACACTCCACCCCACTTTCCACGTGCCTTCGCTCATTTTCCTTTTTTTTTAAACATAAAACTTTATATTATAATTTAATTAACTCACTACATTCACGTAAAATGCATCTTTAAAATCCCTTGCTTTATATCAATAAAGCCTCGATAAAGATGCATGAACATATAATCGAAAGAATCTCAAAAGCTTAAATGCCAAAAATGGAAAAGCAATGAATGTAGGCGGAATAACTCAAATAAGTGCACATGACACCAAAAGAACACGAGATGAAATGATCAAAAAACACAAAAGGCTTGATGCAAAAGACCCTTCACGAAAAAGGAACTTTTATAACCATCATCATGTTGTACAAGATTCTTTCATGTGAAAACGATGATCACAAATTATTAATTTAAAAAAAAAAAAAAGGAGAAATTTTTGTAGGGGTGAAAGATTTTTACTGTAGAAAAAGATTTATACCCGGATTTGTGGCAGGCTGCAAGGATGAAGGATTTGTCCCAAATATACCCCACAAAATTACAGTCGAAGAGGAGAGAGAATGTAGAATCGTTTGATAGTTATGTTGCAGAGGAAGAAGCTTCTAACGATGGAGAGATGAGAGAAGAATGGTTAGAATACGAGATAAAGGCTAAATTGTTGTGATAACAAACCCCAAAAGGGAAAATAGTTACAGAAATTACAATTCAAAATTAGTAGAAGTGGGAAATAATCAAGAACTAGATGATATGTCTTTCAATTTGACAGCTGATGGATCCATCGATTATGGCTTTAATCGAACCCATTGGTACCTTCCTTCCATCGGAACATCTTTCACGATATCATAGTTGTACCTGATGAACAGTAAAAACGAAAATTAGTTGGAAATAATGATTGTACTCCAAATTCTACGATGCGCATGTGGAGGAATAGTGGAGGTTCATGTTAAGAGTGGTGTATGTGTATCATGAACAAATCGCCATAGCTACTTACTTTTCTGTGAATCGTTTCTTTTCGTACTTTTCAGCTTCCGAGAAAAATTCTTCAAGCTCAGCCGGAGAAGGAGACTTTTCCGGTGGTGGTTTATGACCGGAAGTAGCTTCGTTTGCTGTTGAGGTCTTCTTCTTCTTTGGAGTAGAGGTTGATAACGGCTCCATTTCTTCTGATTCTAATGAAACCACGCTTGATGCAGATGTCTCTCTACTGTAAATTAACAAACATAACGCAAAATTTAGTGGTGTGGAGTTTTATACAAATAGACAAATCCGAAACGGTGGAACTGATAAAAATTGTTGAAACAGAATCATAATTGAGATTGATTAATTAATTTGACCTGAAACCGTCGTTACTGGACATGAAGATTTCGGTTTCGGAAAGACATTCCGCCTGTAAATGAACATTCAATCGGATTAATTAATATGTAACGAACACAAATTCATTACTCGCGAAAAAAAAACAATCGATGTATTTACTAGAATTTTGAATTTCATACCTTCAGATCTGGTCTCGAATCGTCATTGATAGAGCAGATAAACGACGAAGCATGATCAGAAACACCGGACTCCGCCGTCAAAACAACATTCTCATGGAAATTGAAGTCAATTTCACGTCGAGACTGAAACCGAAGCTGAAAAATATTCTCCTGAGCTTGAGAATCCAATCTTCTTCTCTTACCGGTGCCGGAGCTCGAAACATCTGTATCTCTACTCCGCCGCACGTCTTCATGGGAATTTGGAACCTCCATTGTTGAAACTTCTTCAGTGCTTTCGCATCCGCTTGTACACGTTTCCTCAATCATAATTCACACATACAAATTGCTGTATATTCTTTAGATAAATCAAACTGAAAAAACCAACATCTCTTCTCTTTTTAAAGCTGAATAGACAAAGTGACAAGACTGGAGTGGAAATAAAGGTAAGGTGGACATGATCGGACGGTGTGAAATTTAATAAGTCGGTTGTTTTCTAATATAAAAGTTATTGTATAAAATTGAAGTTGTTATATTGAAAATATACTTTTTATATTTCTAATAATAAAGTTATTGTCGTTAATATAATTATCGATCATAATGTTCAAAAAAGAATATTATCTGATAGTGTAGGTTTAAGTGTTTATAATGCTTATGTTATGGGGAAGGTGTGCAATGAATGAAATTTTCAGGTGAGATGCAATGAATTGGTACAATCATAGTTAAAGTTAGATACATTTTTATAGAGGCAAACAACATATTAAACAATGATATTAATGAAATAAATATCCTACTTTTGTGAGAGTTGATCATTAGTAATCGCATTCACAAGAAGGTTAAAGCCATTTACAAAGTAAAAAGACACACACACACACACATATATATATATATATATATATATATATATATATATATATATATATATATATATATATATATATATATATATATATATATATATATATATAGGAAAAGTGAGTATGAGGCTGTAATACATGCAACCTTAGGTGTGGAACCATCATAACGCTGTCGTTTTGCTTTAAATTATTAACCCACCGCATGAATTCCTTGTTTTCTACTTGATCCCCAATTTTTCATTAATTATCAATTTTTTTATTACTGATTATCAATGTTTATCTCTTTTCTATCTATTTCGTCCTTGTTGTTGCTATCATCATATGGCTCTTAATCCTCCTATTCTTCCTTTAAGAACCATATGGGTTGGGGACAAAATGATTACAGGTTTAGCTTCTCCCGTTTTCGTCGTATTGCTCCCCAATTGCTATCTTATATAAGCAAATTAAATCCTATATTCGATTCCTTCATTTTCAATTTGACTTCTATTTCCGCTTAGTCGGTTCCCCCTGAAGGTGAACGTTTTCATCGTATCTTTCTTCCTTCCCTTGTTCCGATTCTAGGATTTTGGATGTTGAAAGATAAGACGCAGGTCCCCAATCCATTTCTTTGCCATTTGATTTGAACTTTGTTTTTCATGTTCCAGTGGGTAATATACTAATATATTATAGTAGATTAACTTAGTTGTGGTTTGAATAAGTTGCAAAAATTTGCAATAGCATGTCAAATTTTTATTTAAATTATATAAAAGTTGTATTATATTGAATGACTTGTACACTGGAAGAAGTCAAGTGACAATATATGTCTCATAGTTCTTGCTTATCGGAATGCTCAATAGGTGTTTGATGTAATGTCTAAATGAATTAAGCCACTAAAAATACATAATATAAAAGTTTATTATTTATGTAAGGTGCATTTAGTTGAATTTATCTATCTCTTAAAAGAAATAAGCCACAAAAACATGAAGGTTAAAAGTTTGCAATGTATATTTCAATCTGTTAGCTGTGTGTATATGCTATTTAAAACTTTTCCAATTTCTATGACAGTTAAGGATGCTTCTGGACAGAAGATTATGCAAGAATTTAGGATGTTTGACAAATGGCCAGCTACAAGAAGAATGGACAAAGATTAGACCATGAAAGACCAACAACTGAAGCTAGCAACTGATCGTCAGAGTACCAACTCATAGCAACCCAATTTTGGCTACTTTGAATTTTTTAGTTGGTGGATTATTATTTTTTAGCGTGGATTTTTAGAACTTTAAACCATTTGCTAAATTCTGTCTTTTAGTTGGTCATTTCTAAGTTGAGTTCTTTTCGTTTGGGGGATTGTATAAACCAATTTTTAAGATGTTTCTTCTCTTGTTAATTTTCTTAGGTGTTTTAATTGTAAATCTATAAACTGAAAATATTTTATTTTTTGGGACACGTAGCTCAGAATATTGTATTTAGTTCTGATAACAAAGACCACATTATTTGTTATGTAAATTGTTATAACATTCTTACTTGTATGAATTTTGATATATATTCAAATATTCCAGTTTCATAGTTTTGTCAATTTATTAAAGTATGATATTACTGTAGCAACATATCCCTGTAAATTTATTCTTTAAATATTGTTAAAATTACTAATAAATACGTTCAAATGTCATAAGGTGACTTTGAAAGTAACTTTTGTAAGCATTTATAAAGTTAATAAAACCATCATCTAAGAAACAATCACATACATTAACTCTAATAATTTAATCTATATTTACATCAAGAGATAAAAACCATTAAACGAAATCCCAGCTGCATTCATTCATTAATATTCCATGTTTCTAAAAGCTTTCAATGGATTAATATAGATATTAAAGTTGCATAAATTAACCAAAAATTTTTGTAAGCTCTCTCTAAGGAAAAAAATAATGGTGTATGATGTAAACTGATGCATCTATAATGAGCAGAAACCAAACACAAGATGCACGACATCCTCCCAGCATCAACAAGCAACACATGAAGTCAACAAAAAGAACCCATCCACTTGATTACACATTTTCATCACTGTTTTTCTGCTACAGATTCATCCACCTGATAATAATTAATATAAGTATGACGCAATGAAATCATGAATAATCAAATAAATATTACAATTACCTTTCTTTTTGGACAACCAGTGGCGTAATGACCTAGTCCTTGGCAGTAAGAACATGTTCTCTTTTTCTTCACGTTCTCTAAACAAGACTTAGTTCTAGTTGCATTTTTAGGACGCCCTTTCGTATTTGTCGGAGCAATAGGATCCCGGACAGATACAGATAATTGAGGCATTATATCTACTTGAGAAATTCCCATGTAACGATCTTAAGACACATTCTCAAATGCTTTAGGCTTTTTCCGAATCTTTTGATCTTCTAAAAACTTTATCACGAAACTATTGCATTTTTCTATGTCTGTAAGGGAGTCACTTGCTTGTTCGATTGCTTTATCACAATTTGAACGAACACACCATAAAGTTAAGGCACTAACTCCATTTTCACAATTCACATCTTCGAGTCCAATGCTGTTAGTACCCACCTTATATCTAGCACTAAGTGTCCACCTTGGTAAAATATAGTGATCAGGAAGATTTTCAACATGTCTTTTCTTCATCACGTAAAGGCTATGCTTACATAATATTCCATATGTTTCATACTTAGCACATGAACACGTGACATTCACATGATTCATAAAATGAAAGATAACAATTCTCCAATGTCTTTTATCAATATCCATTTGCCCAACCCTATATTTGATTTCTTCTGTGGTTTTACTTAAAGTCTCATGAGTTAAATTACAATTAGCTTCTATCCATTCTTTTTTGAATACCTCAAAAAATTTTCTCGTATAAAACTGGCCTGCTTTTGCTTCTATCGGATGAACAGAAGAAAGGATCGGACTGGAGTTCATGGTCTTAAAGTCTTCATCTTCTTCGGCGGCCATTCGAGAGTCAACTGCTTTATCATATTGGAGTACAAATTCATTCAACATGGTCTTGGAATTAACAAATCCATCAAAAAATGAATGAATGCTCTCACTTCTTCCACTCGTAGTCATACCAACAAAGCAAACATCTTTCAAGAAAGCTTTGGCCCAGTGTATTCGTTGGTTATACATATCGGTTATCCAACTGTTAGTTTTGATGTTATACTTACCACGTAAAACTTCCCAATTGGTTTCAAATTCTTCGGTTGTATCACTCTTTACCCACTGTCTATAAGATTCTTTAAAATCACTATAACGAGCTATAAGTGGCCGAAGATGTTCTAATTCATACTTCTTAATGTGCCATGCACAATAGCGATGACGGGTGTTTGGAAACACTTTCTTGATTGCATTACCCATAGCTTTATCCTGGTCTGTTATCATTGCCACCGGATACTTGCGAAACATGCAGTTTAAGAAATGCTCAAATAGCCATCGAAAAGTTTATTCTTTTTCATTTTCTAACAATGCACCACCAAACAATATAGACTGACCATGATGGTTCACACCAATAAATGGAGCAAATGGCATCTTAAGTTTGTTGGTCATGTATGTGACATCAAACACAACGACGTCCCCAAATTTAGTATATGCCTCTCGTGATCTTCCATCAGCCCAAAAAACATTTTTAGGAGACCCGTCATCAAACAAATCCACAGCAAAATACTGGTTACTGTCTATTAATGCTTTATCTTGAAAATGTTTGATCAACCCATAAAACTCTTTACCTTTATATTGTTTTCGTTGCTCTAATAAAACATGGGCACATTGCTTTGAGGTAACATCGGCATCATATGGAGTTTTCATTGTATTTACAGCCTTTTTGATTTGACAAGGCCTTAACCCTGATTGACCTAGTTCCACCATAAGAGACTTGCATGCCATTGAGCGGTGTATTTTCCCATGAGAACGATGTTTCATTACTTCGGTAGGAGTTGTACTCAAATTGTGATTGTGTGTGTCGTTAAACACATCGACAAACCATTCACCATCTTTTCCTTTTGATATCCGGAGCATTGCTTTACATCCAGTCCTCAAATTTCTACGACGTTTCTTAGCAACTCCACATAAACTATTACCCTTCAAACTTTTAAAGCCTTGTTTATTACACACATAGTTCTTCCGATAAGGCTCATTTGTGGTTTTATTTTTAAAGCTCCAATGAACACGAATACCGAATCCATGTAGAAAGGCATATTGGTTATAAAATGTATATGCATCCTTAGGTGTACTGAAAACCTTCCCCATAATACTTAGATCCTTAGCTTCATCTTCATCACATGCAAGATTCACAATATCCTCATTTACTTTTTCAGATTCAAATGTTGATTCCAAAGAAACATTTGCATCTATATCTTCGATTGTATGTGTTGCAAACGACTGATTAGCTACTGGGTTTTCAAAATCCATGATCTTAACTTTTTATAGATGTCTGATGTTATTGAATCAAATTCAACCTAAAACAGAGAACTGAGTAAGTCAATATGAAAAAAAAATTAATAGCTTTTTTAACAGCATGTTGGTACCTGGTAACTTTGATAACCCATAAAATTAATGAGGATGAATGATAAAACAACGCTCTATGTAGGTTAATCTAGTAAAAAAAATATTAGT